TTTAGTGATCTAAGAAGCTTATCTCCTTGGTTAAACTCCTTGATTAGTGACTCCCTCATACTTTCCTTGCACGGTCGCGCTTCTGGTCGTTAATTGATGGCGGAAAATACGTACGAACTTGGCTACTCTCTCATTGATTACTTAGTATCTTCCGTCATTAATTACTTGCTGATCATTGCTTGCACGATTAATAATTTTGCTTGGAAGCGTGTGTTGTGCACTTTTATCCCCATTGCCCAAATTAGGACCCGGCACATTCGAATTGATTGCCAGTTTCAGGTCCAAGCGATTAGACAGAAATCATCTATTACTGTCATTTGTTGATAAATTGGCTAAGATGGTTCTTTTAACAAATAATTCCACAAGGACTCAAAATATGAGACCAACAAGGAGGACATGTGATGTGTCCCTCTCCTATTGCATAATGAGCTGGTTATCATTAATGATAGTCAGCTTATTATACAATAGGAGGAGGACGTTTTACCTGTCCCCACCTGTTGGTCTCATATTTTGGGTCTCTATAGCAAAATCTTTCTTTAACTTAGATGGACATAGAAAATTTTGCGAGAAACAATGGAAATGATCATTATTCTTTGCTTCCGAAGAGGTAAAATCAAAGAAGTAAATTCCATTTTATTTTTATTTTATTGTAGGAGCTACTGGTTGATTTGTCCATCTACAAATATTTTCATATTTTCACATTCAAGTCGATAATGTCATATTTATATGAGGGGAACTCATTATCATCTTTGTGAGCAACAAAAGCAATCTTTCCTTTCTTGGAAAATTCCCCCCTCAATTTGTTTCTCCCACTCTTCATGGCGAGGGGTCCTTCCTTTTCAAAAAGAAAAGAAAGGAATAAATGACCATGCACTTTTTTCTTTAGCCCAGATACTTCTATATTGCGATAGTTTTCGTAAACTAGACATTGCAATTGTTTCTATATTGCGGTAGTCGGCGTAAACTGTGGGTACATATTTGGTTCTTCGGCATGGAGATTGTAGGTATAAGGTCACTAAATAAAGCATCTTTTGTTTTATCAAAAAATAACAAATAAATAAAATAAAATAAAGCATCTTTTCTTTTTTTTCTTTTATTCTTTTCTTAATTAATATAAGCTGATAGGGATTCCTATCTTCTTTATTGGGAGACCAAGCACAAGCACCTTTCAAAGATGAGATGAACAATGCCGTAGTGCTTATGGTGCCTAATGATGAATTAGACCAAATTAATGAATAAAAATAGAGTGGTGATAGGGGCACACCATAAACCATACCACCGACCACACTCTCCTCTCTCATTTGCTACAGTACACATGGCCCTACATGGGGATTTTAAATTTTTAAAATCCCATGTGGGGCCACGTGTACTGTAGCAAATGAGAGAGGAGAGTGTGGTCGGTGGTGTGGTTTGTAGTGTGCCCCTAGCATTTCTTATAAAAATAATAATCCCATAAGAGGCAGCGGTAGCAAAAAAAAAAAAAATTCCTGTTTGGGAATCTGTGGATCAATCATTTCAGGCTTTCAGCTATTTTGTCTGATATTCCTGATGTCTCCACCCGCAAGTGATAATTAAGAAATAATAACCGAGGGAACATTCTTCTTGAGTATAATTAGGGAAGCGTGAAGTATTAAGAAAAGACGGAAAAAAATGTTTAAAATGAGTCAATTGAAAAGGGGGGGGAAAAATCCGGATCGTACGGTTTGAACATTGAAGCGCCATTCAAACGCGCAACGGCACCCCTGGGCTGTTACCTAACCGAAATTAAGTCTTTATCATCAAAACGATTCAAGCTTCAAGCTATCATATCCTTCAAGAAATATCAAAAGGCTAATAATAGCATGGTGATGATACCTACAGATACCCAACCCAATAGACAAAAGTGATATAAAATTACACGACTCTCAAAATAGATGTGGCGTTTATTCAAGATATTAACTTTTGTTCATTTCTTTTTTCTCCCCTGTTTCCCTTATTTTAGTGATGATAAAGTATCTATGTCTTAAATCTCATATTTCTTTTACTCTTTTCCATCCTTGCTATTGAGTCAGGTAGGACTGTAAACTCTGTAAACCTAAAAACTTAAATCGGATTTGTTGGCATAAATTTGTTTCCAAACCCGAAATTGGTATTCGAACTTTATTTCAGTTAATAAAAAGTAATGATTTTGAGTCCAATAGCCCCTCTCGGTCTCAGTCGCGTGACCCACGAGAAACAAAAGTTACCGAACCCGTCAATAAATTGACTGCGTCACCGACGAGTTAGTGAGTCAGTCCAAATTCAAGAGTAAGAGATTTGACACGGCTTCTAGAAATTTTACACTTTCATTTTTTGTTCTCAAAGGTAGAGTTCAATAAAATAAAATAAAAAGTGACGAGGTTTCAGTGTCGCGGACTCGCTCCGACCCACGTTCTCGCCTCCCCGCACGCGCGCACGTGCGCGTGGGAACAAGGGACTTGTGCGGCGTTGAACTTATTAATTGTTCAAAGAAGTTAGTTGAATATTTAATTAATAATGAAACTATTTTAGAGTGCAGGGAGGGATGCTTGGGGTTACACGTCCGTGTTTATCTCCAACACAGTCACACTTGACTGTTTAGTCTAGATATCATTGTTGTTGTTGCTGATAGATTTTCTTTTCTTTTCTTTTTTTTTTCTTTAATTTGAACCCGAGTGTGTGGCTCGGTGGTTTGGTGCCCTTAGCTGCCGAGGAGGGACCATTCATAGCGGGAGTTCTGTGTTCGAATCCCTCTCACGCAATTAAATTCCCCTCTAGTCTAGATATCATTGTTGTTGTTGCTGATAGATTTTCTTTTCTTTTCTTTTTTTTTTCTTTAATTTGAACCCGAGTGTGTGGCTCGGTGGTTTGGTGCCCTTAGCTGCCGAGGAGGGACCATTCATAGCGGGAGTTCTGTGTTCGAATCCCTCTCACGCAATTAAATTCCCCTCGTTTCTTTATCAATTAAAATTTTTTAATTTTTTAAAATTTGAAGAATACAATGTAAAAAATAAACACAATTTTGATAAAAAAATTATATTATTAATCAATTATAATTATATAATTTATAAACAAAAAAATTATAGAAATTAAAATAATATAAAATAATTGTAGAATTTGTAGAAACAAACAAAAATAAAAATAATTGTAGAATTTAAAGAGCCCAAGACCCAAAGCCAAATCAAAAACCTCTAAATTTATATGTTGTGGTTAGGATTTGAACCACTAACCTACTCTCCAAACTCCTAAATTTTACAACTAGACTAAGTAGCCCAAATTATTCATGTCATTCAATATATGTATATGTATATATATACACACACATATACATATA